ACTGCTCAAAACCCAAGAGTAGCCTCTTCCAAAACTACCTGAGCAATCGCTTTACCCTGCAACAGAATATCCCTGACACACATGCTACTCTGGATTCAAGCCCCTTTTTCTCCCACCATTTCCCCCACTGCCAAGAAGGCTTTGACTTCAGATTCTGCCCTCCAGCATGTACCCCCAACTCTCATTTCCCCAGGTTAAGCCTTAGAGAATCCACTTCCCAGGTGTGGGCAAACCCATCAAGAGTGAAGCTTTCAGCCTTTTCAGAGGCAACACAAGGTTCCCTCAGCCTCAGCTCTGGCTGCAGGCTGGGCATTCCCCACATCCTAAAGTGGTGCTGGTACCTGGGACATAGGCCAAGAGAGGAAACTGGAATGAATAAGCACTTTCTGCCCCAAAATGCAAGAGACACCAAGGAAGAGCACTTGAGAGTGCTTCATTGAATGAACTGATCTGCCAGCAAGAAATAAAACGGGAATGGATCAAGCAGTCCCAATGCCTGCACACAGCCTTACGGCTCGGTCTCTACCTCTGAGAGGGACCTGCAGACTCTTTTATATGCTGGCAATGTATTTGCAGTTTGTCATGACAGTTAAGCGTTCTCGAACAGGGAGCACAAATTACACACGCACACATGCTTCACCCTCACTGATCTCGCTTGCAACAGCACCACTGAGAAAAGTGGATAGGAGGTTCCATTTTGTTGCCACAGGACATGAATAAATGTCATTGATTTCAATGGGAGTTATTTGTATCCTGCAGAGGGAGAATAGCACCCTGGTATCGCTGCTGATCTGTTTGCCCCTTGGTATCTGGATCTCTGCAGTAATAGCAGGGCTAATCCTGCTGCCAATTTTCTCTCTGTTTTTGTTGATCTCTGCTCTGCTTTTATTGAACCAATCCCTAGCTATTAGGGAGAAACTTTCCCTCTGGCATGTTATGCCATTATCATTCATGATGAGGCTTTTTGCACTTCATCTGACATATTTGATGCTAGGCTCTGTCAGCAACTAGGCTCTGGACCGGAGGGACTTCAGGGGTTCAGGATGCGCTTAGAGCAGCAGAATGGGGAGCACCGCAGATGCAAAAGCAAGAGCAATACAATATGCACATTCAGCAGCATGAAATACCATCCCTGCATTTTGTTCACCCTTTTTGCTGCAGCTGACAATCTACATGTTCCTCTGTGATCCCACAGCCTCAGAGGTTTCCAGCCATTTCCACTTCAGAGTACTGCGTTCCCAACTCTTTTTCATGATGTCCCGACATGCAGGCATGTGCTAATCAGTTTTAGTAGGCTCATCATTTGATTTACTTCAAAGCTGGGAACGCAGTTGCTGCCTCTCTTAAAAGATAAGAAAGGTCAGCAGGACAAGGGTTGTTTTGCTTGCTTTTAGTTTGCGCTTGTCCTTTGTAGGTAGGTCAGAGATGAAAGTTGATCTGTTTCATGTAACATTTGTCTGATTTCTTTCAGTCACTGGTGGATTAGCTTCTCACATCTTTGTCCAAAAAATGTTTTTTCATCACCTTGTAACAAAACCTCTCCTTCCCTGGTTTCACACGTTTGTATTGAAGGAGTGTTGCCTTTGCTTTTCGTGTGTCTAAGGTTAAACAAGACTGATCTGCCATGGAATTTATTCATTCCAAAGGGGATCAAAAAAACAAGGTCCTGTACCAAAAAAATTATTTCCAGAACAGTCTCCACAGTCAGAAACTCCTGTGCAATGGATTCTTTTCATGGTAACATCTTGCAGATGACTGAATTTCAGCAGTTATCTGGGCTGACACGTTCATTATACTGCACTGGAAGAACAGAATTCTTACGCATGAAGTGATCTCATATATGAACATAAATAAATTTATGAATAACTCAGAAATGGAAAACTTAAACTGCTCTCTTTTTACCTATCATTACCTTAAAGGTGTGGGTTTTCCAAGGAGCAGTGGATTTTTCATGGCAAGTAATTTATTCCAGGACATTTTTCCTCCCTTCCTATTTGTGAACAGATTACAATTATTTCTTAGCTATTCATTATTCATGTGCTAAGTACTTATCTTTACTCATTTGGTTTTGGTGTACAAGACATTTTGCACATAACTTTTTGCGAGAGTTTTGCAGAAATCTGATATTTCCAATCAGTATTACAGGGATTCCTTTGAGAGAGGGGATGCTCTCTTTGATGCCTCTTGACTGAATGACTGTTGTTACTAACTGAGCCAGCTGGAACTGTGGTTGGAAAAGTAGTGCCTACCCTTTTTTAACCAGTGCACGCTGTCCACACCAGCATGCCTTCCAGCTACTGAGCTTGAACTAGCCTCATCATGGGTTCAAGCATCATAGATTTTCTTCCTGATATTGTTTCTTATCATGCACTGAAGCCCTCTAAGTGATGGATGGTATTCCTGTTCTTGTTTGGGGATTTTCAAAGGGAAGAAATCAACTTAAAGATTTTCCAAACAGCAGGCAGAAAAAATAGAAAATTATTAAAAAGTTCTTTGCAAAGCAATGCAACAATGTTCTTCACAAAGCAGGAAATTTGCCTGCCGTGGAGTAATGCTATTTGCACACACCATCCATGCTTGTGCTGGAAAGGGAAAGGTGAGACCAATAGGTGACTGAAGATTAAGCATCAGAGTGGAAAACAAATTTAAATGAAGCTCAGAGTTGCACAGGCATAAAGAAATGAAGACATTTGGGGGGTTGGTGACTCACGTGGGTGGAGCTTAATTTTCTGGGTGGGGGTACAGAGGAATTACACCACATTTTTCCGCCCAGCATGGTGCTACTATTTCTAGTCCCATGCGATCCAGAAAAAGAAGAAGCTGAGAAAGAAAGAGGCCCCCACCCTTTCCCTAGAATGAGAAAAAAAAATGTTTTCCTTCCTTGTATTTTCTTCTTTCCGTCCTCTCCCTTTCCTTCATGCTATCAGCATCAGCATTATATCCTCTCTTTTGGGGAACTTGCTTCATGCCAGGCTGTTTTGCTTAAAGGTTTCTTTAGCTTAACCGCCTGTCTCATTAATGATTTTTAAGATTTGAGTCATGTGGTCTGCTCAGTGACATCTCTTCCCCTCAGCTCCCCTTCCCCCACACCTCGTTTAAAGGTTTCTCGGTGTCAATCTACCGGATGATTCCAATTCAGAGCACAGCATAGGCATTGTGTGAATTATATACGTCAAACGCTGAAGTTCAAGAGAGCTCCGGCGTATGCTGAATGCTTGGAGTTCAGGGGTTATTTGACAGGAAACATCTTGATGAAGGACCTCTCCTTTCTGCAGCCTGCTGTTCCGTGTCTGCTCTCGGGGATGAACAGCAATCCCAGCCCAGACAGGGCCCCTCTGTCCGACCACTGAACCAAGCTCCTCACTTGTTTCCAGTTGCTTTGGCTAGACAAGAAACAGCAGAGCTAATGGGCAGAAAGGGATATTAATTTGCATTTGAATACAGCCCAACACAGTTACTCAATGTTACTGCTGGGTAATGGGAAAATTAAGCTAAAAGGGAGTTAGCATATGGAAAAGAAATGTAGCTGATGCTGAGAAGACAGACTGCAGTTGCAGTGAATTAGTGGCCACAGCTGTTATGTGGGATGCCTTACCGCTCTCGGGGCAGGTAGCATTGCAAAAGCAAATATTCCGTTTTACACACATTATTAGACAGTGTGGAGTGGCTGGAGAAATAAAATCAACTAACAGGAAATAAAAAAAATAAAAAAAAAACCCAAAAACAAAAACAAAAAAAAAAAACGGGGGGTTGCGGGGAAAGTGATGTAGTTTAATATAAAAAGTCTAGTGATGAAAAAAAAAAAACACAGAAGCAAAGGAATGCAAGGGGAGGTATCCTGCCTTCCTTAGAAAAGCAATAAAACCCATAGAAATGTTTCCTTCCATTTGCAGTGGGCGACCACTGTTTTCCAGGAGTGAGTCTGGCTGATCACAGCAATTCTCCCCGAGTCGGACAGAACCAGATCTTTATACACGTTGTGTTATTGTAGCTAAGAGCAATATGTGGTTACTGTCTCAGAGCTCTTGCTTTCTTTTATTGCCCCTTTTCTTAGGGTCTGGGTTTCATTTCCTTGCTGAGGACCTGCCCAGAATGACCCCGTGAGTTACCTGTTGTCCCAGGGAAATAAGGGGCTGGACTGGAATTGGAAAGGTTCACACAAGCAGCTTGTTTGCAACTCTGAGCATTTCATTTCATAAGGCCCCGCTTTGGTCTGTGGCATTAACTGTTGTGATTCCACTGTGGCAAGGACACATTGCAGAGTAATGTGCAGTGGCCTCCCTCTATTTTCTTTAAATTACATATATTTTTTAAACAAGTGAAGAGATATCCCTCTTGAATAAACTTTAAACATATGCAAACCCATGAACAGGCATCCTCACCCCTTTTCTTATAAGACAAACTCTTGTGTTGCTTTTCCAAACAGGCTAAAGTTTGCATCAATAAGCCAAATTTTTTTCAATGGTACTAAGACCCTGAAGTGTTCAATATAATGCTTGCCTTCAGAACCCTTTGAATTTTGCCACATGTGTTCCAGAAAAATAAAAAGTTATGGAGACATTTGATTTCTTTTTTTCTTTTTCTAAAACAATGCCTAGGATTTAGTTACACATCTGCAAGCAGTACTGGTGTGCAGTTAAATACATTGCATGGCTTTGAACTTCTCAAGCGTGACTGTAAAACGATATTGTCTGTGCTTCTTATTGGTTGTATCAGATGAGTCCCACTTCAGTCCTTTGTTTGCTGATGTCATTAGAAATAATTAAAGTTTTTATCTGGTTCACATTTAGTAGCTTTGTTTAAATGTGGGTTTTGGTTTTGTGGTTTGTTTTTTGGTGGTTTTTTTTGGGGTTTTTTTTGTTTTTTTTTTTTTTTGTGGGTTTTTGTTGGTTTTTTTTAATAGAACATTTACTTCTGAAGCCTGTTCCATGCTGCTGTTCACCCAGGGTTATTCTTAACTAATACTTTCTGAGGGTTCACTACCTCCCCCATAAATCCTTACATTCCCATTTCGTAAATTTAATAACAGGATCTGGTTTCAATCCTCCCTGCACAGAAAAGCCACTTCAGCTTTTCATTCGGACGAGGAACTTGATGGAATGTGCCTGGTGCTCAGAGCAGCTCCCAGCCCTCCATGCAGTTCATCTTGGGGCCAGCCGTGCTGCCTGGGGCTGCTTAACACAGGGCTGCGAGCCTTCCTTATCTCTGCTGCCAGAGAAAGGAAAGGGATGGGAGGAAAAAAAAAAAAAAAGCGGTTTTCATGATGTTAAAGAAAGGGAGAAAGCATTCAGATTCCAAGCTGAAAAAAAAAAATCCTGAGAATTCTGAAAAACTTGAAAATTTCTAAGGGGCTGGATTTTGAATAATTACAATGTGTGCATTAAGATGTGCTTATATACAAAGTCGGCACGGTCACTATGCTTTTCATTATCTGGACATTTGATCCTGCCAGTATACCCTCAGACAGGAAGACACATCAACTATTGCCCTATGGACATGGAGCAGCAAAAGGACTCTGGATCAGATCACATCTCAGTCACAAACTGCAGGTCACCAAGGTGAGGAGGAGGAAAAATTCAGCACTGAAGCTAGTGCTTAGTGAACATCTCTTCCATTTCAGGTACCCAGCCATGATTCATTACAGGGGATCACCACTGATGCATCAGGGTAAGTTCAGGCTGACAGGCATTTACTAAGGCATAGCTGAAATATATCTACTCATTTGCTTACGCCACAGTCATGTTTTCGGGTAGATGTTCCTCTAAAGCTAGTTGATACCTGAGTATATAGGCTTCGGGCTTTTCCTAACACATGTGCCTTGATGTGAATCATTCAGTGCTTGGTGTTGACTTTAGCTGACCCTAGCACAGAAGCCCTCTGGGAGCCCATGAGGTTCCCAGTGCCATGCCAGCTGAACACTTCACCTTCTTAGACCTGTTTTTTCCCCCTGCGAACTAAGGAAGAGTATTCTCCCTATTTCTCTCTAAATGTAAACCCTAAGACCCCATATTTTTCCTCTCTCACCAAGCCTGGTCTAAAAAAGGCGTGATAGGATGCCACCATCGCAGTCCCTTTTCTAAGGCTGTGTGACCACCTTTGCAACACCCTGCAGCATGGCTTAGCAGTGGCGACAGTCTCCCTCTGGCAGCCTCAGCCTGGGCAGAGGCATAATTCAAAATCCATTAAAGCGAGTCAAAGATCCTCTGATTTCAAAGCACTTTGGATTTAGGCTTCTTTCCCATCTAACAGGAGTCCCTTACAAATCAGCTCCAAGGCACATCAGTTGGATGCTGTGCAAAGGTTTTTCTAGTGCCAATTTGAGTTCTGTGGGTATTAAAGAGCACAACATACTACTTGATTTTCAGTCAGTCATGTTCTGCCAGCACTTGCATTTTGAATCTGGGGGGTGGGAGGAAAGGGGAGATAATCTGTAGTGTAAGTGTATGAAGTGTGCACTGTTAAAACATAATGCTATCTTATTAAAACTATCATTGTAATGAAAGCGGATTATTTACTTTGTAACCCATAATGCTTTCCCAGAAAGTAGTTTCTGGACATAATTGCCAATTTTCTTTGAACCAGATGCATCCCTGACCACAGCTGTCCTTACAGCTCACAGATGTTGCCACTTTCAGGCCACCACAGCAGAAGGGAGCACCAGGAAGGACAAGAGGGATGAGTGGGTCAGAGGCTGGTGGGATCACAGGTCTGGTGTCTGTTGGCAGGACCAGAGCTTACCTGCCTCTGTGATGTTTGGTTTGCTAAGGACTTACTGACATCTCCATCCTGTGTCACCACAGATGACACAGAGGAGCAGAAAGTAGGAAGTCCCTGACCTGCCAGATTGTCCCACTGTATATCAGTATTGTACAGCTGTCCTTTATGCTCCAGTCAAGAGTAGGATTTGAGTTGCTGGGGTTAGCAAGGAGGAATGACTTCATATATCATGCTCAAAATTATTGCTCGTGTCTTTGTTCTTAGAGTCTGGATACAAACAGCTAGGAAGCCCACCTGGCTTGGTTGCATTAGAAACCAGTGAAAAACCTTCTGAAAGCTCAGCTTTTCTGCAAACAACACAAAGACCCATTCGGAAGCGAAGTCTTCTCATCCCCTGACCTGTAGGCAGCTCTGTAATCACAGCCCTGGTGACGCTGCTGTGCCAGGCAAACCAGAACCTCAGAGGCTCTTTCCAAACTTCCCTAGGGAAGCATGAGATGATGGAGGAGGTGACAGGAGTTGGGGAAGGAAATTCCAGGGAAGCTGTATCTATATCTTTACATGACTGTGGACTGAAAAAAAAAAACCATGAGGCCAGACAACTGTGCAAATCTCCATGTTATGTTTCAAAGCACGCACATGTACATCTTTCACATGCAGTCTTCAGTGCAGCTGGTATTGTGGCACGGGTACAGTTATCCAGAACAGCTGTCATTCATCAGTAGCAAATTCCTGCCAGCAGGTAACATCTCTCTTTTACTACCAGGAGGGAAAGTGAGAGCGCCACTATTATTCCCAGATCTGGACTGGGTATCAACTGCCTGTCTCAGTCTTCCCAGCTCCAGCTCACACAGCATTAGTCAGACTCTGTCAAGAGGTTTGATTCAATCCTACACAGATCCGACAGCCAGATGAAACACTGCGTGAACTCATTAGGTGGCAGAGCACCGAGCTGCAGCCTTGTACTCTCTCAAAGACTGGCTCGCTCTGGAAGTGAGTACCCGCCGTCTAGCTTTGTGTGCAAAGCCTGATTTGCTTACTTCATATGTAGCAATCTGAACTGCTGTGTTCAATCATATCTGACTGTGATGTGAACTACTGAGTACACAAATGCTAGTGATGATCTGTACAATTTTGTCATCCAGTAATTGATAGCCATACTGGCTAAGGGGCTCTGAGCTCCTGACCAGTGCTGGCACTTTCCTGAGCTCATGTCCCTGAGGTGGCACATGCACATACAAAAGCTGGGCAACAGAAAACTCCCTAAAGTGTTGTGGTTTAACCCCAGTACGTAGTTTAGCTCCACCCCCAGTGGGATGGGGAAGGAATCAGCAGGGTAAAAGTGAGAAAACTTGTGGGTTGAGATAAAGAGAGTTTAATAGGTAAAGCAAAAGCTGCACAGGCAAGCAAAGCAAAACAAGTAATCCATTCACCCCTTCCCATTGGCAGGCAGGTGTTCAACCATCTCCAGGAAATCAGGGCTCCATCACACATAATTGGGAAGACAAACACCATAACTCCAAACATCACTCCCTTTCTCCTTCTCCCCTACAGCTTTAATTACTGAGCATGTCATCACATGGTATGGAATAACACTTTGGTCTGTTGGGGTCAGCTGTCCTGCCTTTGTGTCCCAACTTCTTGTGCATCCTCAGCCTACTCACTGGTGGGGTGGAGTGAGAAGCAGAAAAGGTCTTAACTCTGTGTGAGAACTGTTCAGCAATAACTAAAACATTCATTTGTTACCAACACTGTTTTGGTCACATATCGAAAACACAGCACCATATGAGCTACTCTGAAGAAAATCAACTTTATCCCAGTCAAACCCAGTACACTCATGCACAAGAACTGGGCATCAAAACTAAGCCAAGTCTGAGGAAAAGCAGAAAGATTGAGTTTCACCAGGTTGTTCCAGCTTCAAGGATTATAAAAGAGCATTGAGGAGAGAACACTATATTTTGCCCAAGGCAAGGTCAACCCTCCACTATTTGTCACCAGCGATGATGGGTCCCTACATCCCCACTGTCCTTGTTAGCAAAAGCCCCAGCCATTCTGTGAGTATGGCAGTGAAAGGGGAGGTCAACTGAAAGCCAGATTCTGACCTTATAAATTCAGGATGAATCCTAAGTCACAAAAAGCTTTCAGATTAGGTTGACAATATAATAAAAACTGTAATAGAATTGTGTTATTTAAAGGTGAGAACAATTTATGTGACAAAAGAAGAACTGGAGGGAAAAATTCTTCTATGAAGATGACCTCAGCTGCTGCCTGCTCATGGCCACATGTCATTGGGTTTGTCCCTTACACCTCTCTGCACTGCAATGGTATCTAGTGTTGCAGTAGCACAACAAAGCCTTGGGCACAGCTGGTGCCCTTGCTGCTCCAACAGGTGATCAAGCATTTAGTTTTTCTGTAATCAGGATGACCCCAGAAGTGTCCTGTGGTCTGCTCACAGCTTTGTGAAGCCCTTGCAAGGTGCTTGTTGCCACATGAGTCTCGATTCAGCAGTGTGCTTTAAACTTCACTTGAAATTCCAAGCCTGCCCCAGCTCTTACTACACATGACTATGCATCTGAGTTCTGACAGGACTTAGAGACAGGCTGGTTATAAAATATGCCATCATACTGACATGTCTTTTTTTCTTCTTCCAGGTGGTAAAATTAATTGCATTCGGTCCTCTCCTTTGTATGTCTCCGTGCAATCTGTTGCACAGAGACAAGACAGGTGGGGATCTTTCAAAAAAGGGGTGCACTTCCTCACTTCTTTTCACTTGCACTGTGAAGAGGTCTACAAATCCTGCCATGAGCACAGTCCTTGCATCTCAGTTCTTCCTGTGCTGCCTACTGGAAGGTAGTAGAAGCAAGCACTTAAACAATGTGCATTCTCACATCAGGGTTTGAGCCACCCCTGGCTCAAGGTCTGTTAGGTATGTAACTGTGAGTCTTGTTTTCCTTAAAAATTTGAGCCCGTGTTAAAAATAGAGGGCCTTTTAGACTATGTGGTGCCCATACATTCCATGTGCGGAACATGTCCTCATATGAACCCAGTGGTTATTCAAACTTGCAAAGGTTTTGTTCATTGTATTTATCTGAGAGAACTACAACAAGAGCCTGTCCCCTGTATCCTGCTTGCACGGCTTGCTGCCCTTCCTGAGAGCTCATTAGGCAATTGAATTGCACACAGGACCTGACCAAAAGCCCACTGGAGCCAGTGAATGATTTTCTATTGATCCAAGCCCTTGAACTGCAGCGGTACAGATGAAGCAAATTCTGAAAAGTTTCTGCTTTCAACCCATCAGGACACAACTTGAATTTCCCTACTTTGTCTCTTTTATTTTTTTCTTTTGTCTTTTTTAGACTTTGAATTATTTTGTTCAGATAGATTTCCCCTCTATAAATCTTGTTGCATTTCTAAATGCAGTTACTACTAGGGGGTAGATAAGCTACAGGCAGAAAGCAAGGCAAAACATGGCTAAATGGAGCTTTCTTTAACACACCAACAGCCAGGAGAGAGGGAGTGAACCACAAACTATTACAAGAATAATTACAGTATTAAAGCAATAACAACAAGAAATAATAATATATTATGGTTTTGCAATTAAATAGCATCCTTTATCTGATAAACTCGTTGTGCTTTACAAACTTCAATTAATTAAGTCTTCCTCCTGCACATGATGTGAGGAAGGCAGTAATCTTCAGCAAGAGTTTCAAATGACTGCATTAGCTGGGAGTGCAAACCACACCCTTCTTCGCCAGAAAATGAGCACTTTTCGTGGAAAATCATGTTTTGCTACATCTGGTCAAACAAAAAAAGTAGCTGAGAAAATGAAAGCTTAATTTGCCTGAGTTTAGACAGGGAAGTTTAGGGCAGTAGAACCTGAATTTCTTAAAAAACAGCTCTTAAAGTCTGTGAAAATATCACAGCTGGAAAAGAAGGCAAAGCAAACGTTACATGGATGCTGCATGAACTGCAACATTATCTTGTTTTCTGCCCCTCTTTGCCTGCTCTTCCCCTTTCCTGGTTTGTTGAACCAATGACAAGTGAGTTTTCAGCCTGGAAACAAACTTTCTTTAAAAGAGGAATAAAAAGTGTGGGGGTCTCCTATGCACAGTTTACAACAGCAACACCAGCAATAGACTGGGAAATGAATGCTCCTTTAGGTGTATGCCAGCTGTCGAGCTTACACTAAACAATGTTCTTAATTATTGGCAATGAGTTGGCAAGCTCCTGAAAGTTTGTAACCAATTATTTTTTTATAATTATGATCACTTAAAAACAATAGCATATAACAAATTATGATTAACAAGGACAATGCAAATGTCAATTAGAAAATGTGACTCTAACTATCCCAACTTGCCTTAAAGCACAAATCACTGCAAGTGCATTTTTTGTTCAAAAGCAAAAACAGCTAGAGAAAAGCAGATGACCGTGAGATCATGGGGCTGGAAAAATAAAAAGCAGAGGTATTTTGCTTCCCATGCTGGATGCTGAAAGGTCGACACAGAAATTAATGAGGAAATGCCATGACATATCACACAGTGGGACCATCCTCATGGTGCTGCAATTGGCGACCAGACACCACCTGCACTCTCAGAACAGCCCTGCTTCGGGGGAGGCAGGTGAGCGGCCTGGGCATGCACAGCACCACTTGCAAGGCATGAAAAGTGACATCCAGCTGCCTTGACAAGGGTGGCTAGTGCCATTTTATACATCTCAGGATATTCTACTTAATTTTCATCTATTTTAGGTTTACTCAGCTATCCTAGATACTCACACAAGTCTGGCAGATAAGACATAGGACCCATGGAAAACCTATGACCTCCTGGAGGGGCAGTTGGAAGACAGAGAGGTTATATCAGGGAGCAAAACTACATTAGATGCCTGTGTTTAGACATCTGAACCAAGCAAGGAGAGATTTTAGGTTCCATTATCCTTGTGCTGGCCTTGAAACATCACACATTGACAGGCTCAGTATGGACCTTTCCCACTAGACTTTCTCCAAAAATTACCAAACATGGAGGTATAAGGCAAGAACAGAGCTCTGAACTCAAAAGTATATTGTATATTCAGACAGTGCCATGTCACAACTGCCTGGTGATTATCTTCTTAGGAAGGAAAAGAAAGAATTGTACTGGCATTTGGAATAAAATGGCTTTCTCTGTGGAGGGTGTACACTTCAGATCAGGAAGCAAGTGAGCACGTTCAAGGTAGCTTGTGGCACAGAGCAGGGCTCTCAAGGAGTAGCATCTCTGGGCTTGCAAAGGAGTTTCTGGTGGGGGCGTGACACTGAGGACATGAAAGGGTCTCAGGTTTCAGGAGTAAATGCAGTGATAGAAGTCCTTTTGAGGTCTTTCTTCAACTTCTCTTTGTTGGCACTGTTGAAGACTGGAATTTTTTAGATTATTTTGGGGGGGTTCATTTGGGGACATATATATTTTTCATCCCTACCTGGAAGGACACGGTAGAAAACTATCCCCCTGGAGCATACAGTAGGCATTATCCAAATACTGTTAAATGGAAGAGATCAACCTGCACACCTCCCATCCATCATGGTGACATGGCTGAAGGCCAGGAGAAGAAGGTTTGATTTTGTCTACTCTGACAGCACTCATTCAGTCAGTGAATCTCTGTCGCATTGCATGTATCTCTGAAAGGTAACTGGCAGCATATACATGACTTATAGATAGAGACACAAGCAAACATGATGAAAAAAATATCAGCATAATCTAGAAAGCAAGGGGCAAGGAGGAATGTGAATTATTGTCCCCTTAGAGTATGGGTGCTCAAAACTGTTGTTTGTGCTGCACCAACCACACAGAAAGCAGAGTCTGTGCTCAGCATACAGATCTTGCCTTGTATATCATATCTTGGTAGATTTGAGGTGGATTTTACCAGGGACTAGGGATGTCGTCGCTCTCCCAGTGTGTGTGTGTGTGTGTGTGTGTTTGTACAGGGCAGGAGCTGGGACATTTGGCAGACACTATCCTCTCTCCTGGCTCTGAGTTGAGCAGTTTCCTCCCTTCCATCCATCCTAAGCAGCACTAAGCATAGTATTTAAAATTATGAAGGATTAAAATCAGTATTTCTCACCCCCAAAAATCTAAAGTCTTCCAAAAATATCACAAAATAAAAGGAAAGTAATTTTTCTTGGTACCCCTACCTTTTTTACTTTTTAATGCTTTTTACTATGCCATGACTGAGTACCTCCATCATTGACCACAGCATAATGTAGTTTTAAATACATTACCTCAGTACTGATAGCAGTCTGGCTGCAACAGCTTGGATTTGGCACCGACAGAAAAACCTATTTGGAAAGCCTGTCCAGTTAGGTCAGACTCTAAAGTCTGTGCTGGCAAACACAAGTTGCTCCCACCCCAAACTGGATAGCTGGAGAACAGCTCTAACTTTAGTTGACTTGAAGTCATCACCAGGCCAACAGGGTGGATGTGCAGTTTCAGGGTGAAAAGTCATTCTTTAACCTGTATGAAAATACATTTAACTGATGTGTAATCCCTCTCAGATGTCCTACAGGGAACAGCAGGTATATACCTGTGTTTACTGACAAGACCTCTGGGAATGGCAGACAATTTATATTACACAGAGACTGGGATAGTTGGAGGTTCAGTACTGCCCGCCTAGCTGTCTGCTTTGGTTGCAGATCAGTGCTTAAATTCTGCTCACTGGCATTTCACAGATTTTGCAACAAGAGTGGAGTCACGAGCTCCTTGTCTGGGCATCTTTGCATCCCCTTCTCATGTGCCTGGATATGTTATCCATGTTTACAGGTCATGTTTACACTGGGTAGCTACTTGCAGAGCTACCCAAGCTCACCACACTCAAGATGTTACTGGAGCGGGACACTTCATAATAACTTGAGCAGATCTCTACTGAAACAAATTGGACTTGTTGAGAGGCAGCTGATTATGAGCAAATGCTTGAGGTTGCATAACTTTCCACATCACAGCTAGACTCCTCATGGTGCTGCATGGCACTGTGTGGATGTCCCAGCAATCTTGGTGCTGTCTCAGAACTTTTCCCATTGGATTCTTTCCTGCAGCTTCATCCAAATCGTAGGGTATGGATCCCAGGGAGGCTAACACATTCATAGAATCATTTAGGTTGGAAAAGGCCTTTAAGAACACCGAGTCCAATGATAAAATACCTTGCAGGAAAGTACAAAGTCAGGGGGGAACATGGTGGTCCAGAAAGAGCTTTGCACAATGGCTGCTCATACCCAGACCAACCTCGAGGACCTCAAGGATCACTACACTTCTCTGAAGCTGACATACAGTCAGTTTTCACTTGTACATGAATTTAGGTTGGTAGCTGGCACGTGTGTATTTGAATCACTGTTTCAACTAGTCACAGAAAACTTACAGATTCAAGTAGTGTGTTACAACCACATACCTGTGCTTTCCAAAACCTGTAGGACAACGTGTAAAATATCCCCAAAGCAAAGAGACATTGTCAAGAAGTTGTCCCATTTTCACACTAGCTATCGGTTAGCCAGTGTAGCTGGCTGTGTAACTAATACCTTCCATATGGGAATATAAAGATAACTAGGTTGAATCATTAGACTTTTAGGGCATTTTGCTAGCTGGAACATCCCCACAGCTTCCACAGTGCCCAAAGCAGGGCAGGGACTGAAGCACACATTTTGGCTGTATGCATTTGCTAGAGGCTGAGAGTGGAAGAATTAAACAGCTACTGATATTCTGGCTGCA